GCCGAACTGCGCCACCCGACACACTGATAACCCGGTGGGGGCACTGTATTGGTTCAGATATTTACCGTTGCATTCCATGGGGACCTATAAATTCCTGTAAAGCTGTGCAATAGCAGGAACCTCGTACACACTCGACAAGAGTCTACTATTCTCAACATGGTGAGACGTGTAATTAAACAGGAACTGGATAGAGAACAGCGAAATGGCAAGGTGCCCTTCCCCTAGGCCGAATAGCACCGCTCTACCCCCCCCCCTCATCACGAGCTCAAGTACGTCTGCTCCCTCATCTCTCCTGTGACAGCTTCTTAGCGATCCCTAATAGTAACAGCATTGATTGGAATGAGGGTAGAGCTCACTGTTCTAACTGTAGGCAGCAATGGTCTTTCTCTGGCATTTCCGTCCTCATTCTCACTACCTGACATTCCGCTGAAAAATTGTCGGTGCCAGCGTGTCCCTATCTGTATGTCTTTCACTCAAATCACTCAAAATGAAAATTCCAGCTGCCATCATCCCAGTCGCTTACCCGTGAGCAACGAGATCTGGTGTGGAAGTTTCGCTATTTTCTGCAAGCCGATCGTCGAGCGCTGAATAAGTTCCTGCGTTCGGTAAATTGGGATCAGCCCGGTGAAGAGCAGCATGCACTTGCTTTACTCAAGTAAGTTGTTCTTGAAAAAAAATCGTAATGTTCCGCTCATGAACTAAGTTGTTTGCAGCGACTGGACTCCAATAGAGGCTGAAGATGCCTTAGAACTTCTATCACCGGCGTTCACTCATCCAGACGTCAGGTAGGCTATACCGACGGATTAAAAAATAATTGATTTGAAGTGACTAGTTTTAAGGTGTTATGCGGTCTCAAGGCTTTTCGATGCAGCTTCTCCTGACCAGGTGCTGCTATTTCTGCCACAGCTGGTTCAAGCACTCAAATACGAGCCACTTCCCACAACTGATGCTGCCATTGTAGAACAGGTACATACAATTTTTTCCAAAATCTTTTGCGATAAAGTGGCCTGTAGCCTCCTGGTATTGTGTGCTCATTCGAGTAATCCCCTCCGAGGGTTGTAACAGGTACATAAAATTTTTTTCCAAAGACTTCTGCAGTAAAGTGGCCTGCTGCCTCCTGGTGTTGTATGCTTATTGAAGAAATCATCTCCGAGGGTGGTCCTTGACATGTGCGAGGTGAATGTGTCACCAGCTGTAGTAATGTGCTCTCTCTCAAAAGTGCACGAAAACGGTTCTGAAGGAGAGGGTTACCCGGGTGACGTCTCACGTATGCGTCCGCGCTATCCTCAAGATGCAGCGTATGGTTCTGCAGCTCCAGCAGCGTGCGCGCAGGCACGGATAGAGAACAACCAGAAGCTATGGACGCAGAAAAGTAGTTGGCTATGGTCAGGCATGGGCTAGTCGTGCCGCAGTACAGACGGAGTAGGGAAACGGCCCCGGGAAGCACTACCTTGCAGCCTCTTTCCCACGTGTTTTCGAGCCGCGAAAGTGACAAGCTGCAGCAGCTGTAGGTCCATCGTCCGCGCACACGGCAAGGACCAGAATCCACGAAAGCAAGTGTCCAGTTGGTCTTAGAGCGTCCGCCCAGGAAAAAAAAGCCAAAGCGGAAGAAACGATTACCTTTTCCACCGATGTAGTATCTTTACCTGAAGAAGACCCATATATAAGTGATCGCCTATAATTCCGTGTTCTACCCTTTTGTGACCTTAGCAATATGCATTTGTTCTTTGCCAAACCAGGTTGTTGGTTGAGAGCGTCACTGCTAAATTTCGCTAGAGACCAAGCCGGCAAGATTCTGTCTATGATAACCTTGTTTGACTTGTCCAGGGGTGGGACTCTGTATGACAAGGGGAGCAGAAAAAGTAGCTAGACTGATTTAGAAAAGTAGTTCAGATGGAATCGTGTTCTAATTCGCAGGCGACAGAAGCGACAGAGGTGGTTGTGCTGGAGGAAGACGAGATTGCTGCACGTACCACCGACGATTTGGCGTCATTCCTTGTCAAGTGGGTGTTTCAAACTTTTCAGTAGGTTTGTGATGGGAGTAACTGTTAAGTGTTGTCATACTCTCGGAAAACCCTTTGAAATTCTGCCAACGGCATTGGGTATTTGAGAGAAACCATAGTTCTTGAACACTTCTGCATTGTAAGCAGCGACCATCTACATTGCAAGAGCGACCATATACAAAGTTAGGCGATTATACGAATAAGCAAGGGGAGAAAAAAACAACGAGGCATGGGGCAGAGCCCTGATGGTGAGATTGTGTGGATAGCGCACTCATCCGCAAATAGTGAAGGTTCTAAGAAAGTGCAATAGTCGAGCGATGACCGATCACCCACATAAGTGGGCGGGGTTCACATAAAACGCAGGCTTTTGGCAGTCTTACCACGCGCGGTCAACCCGCAAAAGTGGTATACCTAATGCAACTGCAGCCTTGCGTACCTTTTGCAAAGGGAGGTGCTAATATAGGGCAGTCGGGGAAGCCTCTCTGAAACGCTTGCGGTTTCATGTATTAAATCCTGGTGTTCGGCGATGAATGTTTGAGTCATGCAGGGAATAGTGAGTAGTCATTGTTGGTTTTCTTAAATTGAAGCCTCAGCAGAGTGATTTTGAATTTGTAATTGTTGCACCGATACTTTGCAATAAGCATTCTGAGCACTGAATACTTATTATCTGAAATGATTACTATTTGCCGTTGGAAAAAAGTTACATTTTCTTCATCAGATATGCAACCGGCTATCCAAAGGTGGCAAACTTCCTGTTCTGGCACTTGAAAGTTGAAGCAGAGGCGACTCGTAAAACTGATGAAGCCCTATCTTCGGTGTGTCTTAATTTTCTTACTTTCTCAGCAAAAATTTAATAGCGATCGCTGGATAAATGTCGGCTAGAAAAGTAGTTGTAGAAGTGTTACTGGGGAATATTTATAGAGTTATTAATGGAGTACATTAAGGTATACGAACGGTTGCTAAACCGTCTCATGCAAACCTTGCAACGTGGTACACCGGAGATGAAACGGCAAGCAGAGAGTCTAAGGATGCAGAGGGTACGTTACTCCTAACCGCTGGAGATGTCCAGGTCAACTAGAATGTTTACTTATGGAGAAGTTCCGCGTTAGTCGAATGGGTGGAGGCTCACGATCATTGTAATGTCCTCCCTGGTCCGTGGCTCCTGTCCCCTTTATTGTACAAAAAGGAGGCTGGACCAATGATACTAGTTTCTGCCCATCCGAGTATCGCGGAAAAAGCCTCATGATGACTGACTTACTTTAATATCTACCCAGGCTCTATAACCTTCAGAAATAACTTTTGGAGTGTCACCGTTCCCAAGATTGTAGCTTTTATTTCTAGCTTTTCCCTGCCCTTTATTTTACCCTTTTCTATATTGTTGTTCTGTTCAGCAATTTGTCGAGGATCTCAAAATTTTGATGCGTGAAGCCACGATCAAGCATAGTCGTCGTGATCTACGGCAAGCAGCGCTGTGTACATTACTGAACAATGCTCGACATATGAAAGAACTGCGTGGACTCCATTTACCACTTGATCCGAGCGTAAGGTGAGTAAAATGGTGAAAAGTTGTCCTTACTCATCAAAAGTCTATATACCGCGCAGAGGCAAAGCCCAGCAAAGATCACATGAAGCACAGAAAAGAAGAAGAAAGCAGAAAACCCCGTCCAAAATGCCCTCATGGAAACCCATGCTAAACCGCGCTTGTCTGTGCAAAGGCGAAGAAAGGGCGTGGTCGGACGAGTTATCGCTTGTTGGTGCCGTCTTTTTCTCTTCCCACCTCACTGTCACCGTTCTAAATGGAGAAAGCTAGTTGCGGAACATCCAAAAATTAATGGGCGTTGCCATGGCCGGTGGGTGGGGCCGCTATTCCGTCGCGAGTGAGCGGCGCTTTTCCTCATGTATTTTTGAGCTGGGAAGGTAGTACATCCTTCATGCTTGTGAAAAAGACTACTGTGTCCAAAGAAAGCCTGCGCATCAAATAAACGCGGGGCTTTACACCTCCACCTCCATGAGTGGAGGATATAGTTCACACCCCTTCCTGAACATCAGCAATATGCTTAGCTAAGCTTCACGGAATTTCCCGTGCCAAGTCAGCAACCAGTAGCACTCCGCTAATGAGCCAGCCGCTTTGCACAACTGCACACGCCTTTATGACGTTTTACCGATACGATTGATGCTCATAGGTTCCTTCAGGCTAGCTGGTGTGATGCCAGACTCGGCTGTGTTATTCAACAGTGCCATGATGCCAGTAAAGCTGACTTTCAAAACGATAACCGGTACAGACACCAATAAGGAGTACACTCTGATTTTCAAGCAAGGTGATGACTTGAGGTGAGTTGAGCGACGCTGTTTCGAAACTCTTCTAAAATCGTAATGCATGGTCGTTTTTGAAAAAAAACGGTCTCAAAAGACTTCCTTCTTATTTAAATTGCCTTTATTTGCAGGCAAGATCAACTGGTCATACAAATGTTTCGTCTCATGGATAGTCTTTTCAAGAAGGATCAACTCGACTTGAAATTAACACCCTATGCAGTAAGCTTTCCTTGTACCACTTTCTTTAGACACAGTTGGCATGCAGTTGGCGATAGGCCCCTGCTCTGCAATCCTGTCTAAACAACGTTTGCCCGGCAGCTCGACCTTCATCCGCGGAATTGTCGAAAACGTCGCAAATAGGACCCAGCAGTATGAGGGACGAGACACTGCTAAGTGGACGAGAGAAGTGAGACAAAGGTGCAGAACAGAAAGATGGGCTGGGCGGCAGACACGATATTACATAGATATGGCAGGGTCGTGCACGGAAATGAACACTACTCGTCCATGCTTATATAGGTATATTAGCGCTGTCTTAGCTTTCGACGGATGCAGCATCTTCTACGGTTCTTTTGATCAACGACGGCCATAGTGCTCTGGTGTATAAGGTCTCTAATAAAGGGAATCTTTTGAGATTGCGGATCGTATAGGACTACTTGTACGAGAAAGGGTCTTCACTGTGGTCAATAGTTTCGTGGATTGAAGGTGCAGCATGGTCCACGTGTGGCTGAGTTGAACTATGCGCGCTTGTGAGCGTGCACCGCTTTCACGATCGAAAGGACGTGACAAGGACTCGTGAATTATGGTTTTCCACCCCCCCCCCTTCTCCCCTCATGACGGTGGAGGCGGCTGTAGTACGGAGGATCTCGGTTGTCTTTGTACACTCTCCTCCCCAGTCGTCTGGTTTTTCGTGCAAAAGCTCAATGTTCCTTCACCGTGCGGCAGACTCACTTTCAGAGCCGAAAGGGTCCTATTCTGGGCGTTCTAATTGCTCCTTTTAACTTGCTCCACTAATGTGTTGCAGTTTATTTCATGGGGCTAATTGAACTGTGCTTTAAGGATAGACGCAGTCTTGGAATGATTGCCTGTAGTCGTCTATCCCTCAGTTTTCCTCGCTATCTGTTTTTCATAACTTTTACGAGCAAATTATGTGTTTTCAGGTACTGTCGACCGGGGTGAATGAGGGATTTGTGCAGTTTGTTAAAGCGAAACCACTCCGAGAAATCATCAACACTTATAAGCGATATAATACAGACAGCATAAAGGTATTAATACGTATCTTCTCATTATTTGTAATATATTTTATTCAAATAGAAAGTGCGGAGGTTCTTTCTACGAAGTGTGAATGCTTTATGAGATCAATAAGAGCTGCCTGGATATATACCATTTTCACTTTAAATTCATCCCTTTTCAAACCAAATTCACCCTTTTCAAACCAAATTCACCCACCTTCCAATCGAATTCACCCACCTTCCGAAATCGAATTCACCACACTTATTAGGCTGCGCAAGTTCATCTACCAAATCACGCCGGACACTACTGCGCCGCCCCCCGGCCACGCCCACTTTTGCTTTTTGCGGAATTTGATATTTTTCAAAATTTTTGCGTTTTTGGGCTGCTACGTGAAGCTCCGCCCACTGTGAGAGGCTCCGCCCACTTTTGAAAATGGTGTAAATCGGCAGTAAAGGGTCTTTCATGCTAGGGTCTCGTTACGTCTCGAACAAGCAAAATCAAGGCAAGCCAGCGAGGCTATTACTGCCGATATTTTACACCATTTGGAACAGTGGGCGGGGCTTCACGCAGCAGTCCAAAAATGCAAAAATTTTGAAAAAATTATCAAAATTCCTCAAAAGCAAGTGGGCGTGGCCGAGGGGGCGGGGCCGCAGTAGTGTCTGGCGTGATTTGGTGCTGAACTGCGCGGCGGCTAATAAGTGTGTGAAGTTAGATTGGGAAGATGGACGCATTCGATTTCGGGAGGTGGGTGAATTTGGTTTGAAAAGGGGTGAATTTGGTCTGAAAAGGGGTGAATTTAAAGTGAAAACGGTATGTATTCGCCGCGTTTGATGAAGCTTGTCAGGGGGATGGGTTTGCCGCAACGCCAGCTCTTCTCCTCCAATTTGTCGTTTTGTGCTTCCATAATTGACTGGGAGCGGCTTGGCGTTTCGCCAATTTCAGCGCCTTGACACACGCCCGCAGCGAACAAGGCTGTATTTCCTTGTTCATTCTATTTAATAATGTTCCAGGAAGCAATGAAGGAGGCGCGTCCAGATGCACATGGCCCACTGGGGATCGAAGCAAATGTAGTCGATAATTACGTTCGATCATTGGCTGGGTAGGTTATCGTGATTATTTTGAATTCAATGAATTATTCTAGTCGAGTTATAGCTGTGAGGTTTTCCCTGATGACATTCAATTACTAAGATGTACCCCTCCCTATAAAACTTTTTTCAGTTACTGTGTGATGTGCTACGTTCTGGGCGTTGGTGATCGACATTTGGACAATTTATTGTTATGTGAAAACGGCCGGATTTTCCACGTTGACTTTGGATTTATACTTGGACGAGATCCAAAGCCATTACCACCACCAATGAAGCTCACCAATGAGATGCTGCAAGCTATGGGTGGCATCAAGAGGTAACCTAGTTCTCAAAAAGTGACTATTCAGTAACACTCACACAGTCCATGCTCTCGATAAACCTCTGCTTTGTATGAGTAGCTGAACATTTAAATCCTTCAATACTCGACTTGAGGTCATGTACACCAGACTGCTAAGGTTTCTGCGGAATTGCCTTCTTGCCAGATGGGAATCGAGTTATGATTTGTTCGATCAATTACCATACAGCCCTACAAGACCTTTAAGACCAACTAATCCACCACATAATAAGAGTTGGTAGTGCCATCATCGCTGCACAACTATGTCTTGGACCCTTCCATTTAGTACAGAGCGAGATGAAAGCATACTACTATATACCGACGCGGTGCCTTCGCGCTTTAGACCGTATCGTAGGACCGAATCGCTAGCTGCAGTGGAGTTAGGAGATACATTCATAGTGGAATCGGCTGACAAGAGCTCATTCTCGGAAGCCTTTTTATTGATCAGCCGGCTTTTAGAAACTGTCTAATAAAGGTTGGAGATGTGCGCATCTTTCGAGCCGTGAAACCTAAAACAGTGGAGCTCATAACCACTTTACCTTATTTAGTTATGCACCTTTTGTTCTACGTGAACAGAAGGAATGTATTTCGATCATCACGGATATCTGTTTTTAAAAATCTACTGAGGCTATTAGGTTGGCGGGGAATTCGTCACACATCTTCGAAAGCTCAAAAATACCTTGCCCAATCTGAACAGAGGATTAACCAGTAATAGGAGCATATACATCAAGGAATGGTCTTTCTAAATATCGCTGGCTTGACTCCTGCTCCTCCTTATTCTGCAGTAAGGACAAGAATATCCGCTACTTTCGGCCCCCACCCCTTCAAGAGCTTCCTCAAACTTTCTTATAACACCCTGGCGCCAGCATGATAGCTGTCGATGCCAAAATAATGGAGCTGCATAAGGACGATGTCCAACTTTGCGTCGCGCCGACTGCATTGTGAAGCGATTGCATCCATGAGGTGCTCAAAAACTGGCAAGTATCCCGTAATAACACTGCTGCATCATTTTGATCTTGTACGCCTCTCTGTAAAAAAGAAAGATCTTGTGACAGAACTTTCCCGTAACCTAACACTTTGGCTTTGTTAGGTTTTGTCCAATAGGTTAAATGTCTTTTTTCAGTGAGCATTTCCGTCACTTCTGTATGCACTGCGATTCGGCATACCGTATACTTCGTCGCCACGCTAACGTCATTCTAAACCTGTTCTCTCTGATGTTGGATGCTGGGATCCACAATATCTCTGAAGAGCGCGACAAAGCTGTATTTAAGGTAGGTTCATATTGTGACTTTCTAAGATGATGTGATGTGGTATACTATTACGGCGCAGACTTGTGCGCAGTGCCTTCCTCGTTCCAGCAGCACACTGTATTCCGTTTCGGACAGCCTTGCCAACCT